TTTTTTGACGCAGAGTTAGTGTAGCACATGCTTTATCTTCCCAATTCTCGGTTTCGCTTGAGGTTTACCCTCTTCTTCTCCATATATCAGTCGCTATCGTTTTGAAAATGAGATTTTCTACCTCATTCTAAAGTTTTGATGCAACGTGATATTTCCTGTTTCCCTTGCTATCCTCATTCAGAATAGCATTTTTTTATGGGCTGGAAGTTTGGGATTCAGTTCCCATTTTCTTTCTACAGACTGTGATATCCGCCCTGGTCTCTCTTATTGTTAGAAAGAAAAGCGGAGATGTTTTCAACAAACTTCAACAGCATAGGCGTCGACCAGAGCCTTTATGTACATTATCAATATTATCGTTCTTTAGATTATGGGTTCTTCGTCTGTGGAACCCAAGAGTCCCACAAATTCCTTTCGTGTGCAGAGAAAGGCAGCTGTCGGCAGGCTGCGTGCTCGTTCCGAACATTATCTGTGGCTATTTGGGCAGATGCATGCTAAGGTGAGTAGTGTGGACTCCCCGGTTCATCTGATTGAACTTATCGAGCTGTAATTCCAGCGACTTCTTGTTTTCGCTCATCTCTTATTTCTGGCATTATCCGTGTGGCTGATGTGTGTTTGTGCAGTCGGGTTTACAGGCTTTCCCGTGCCAGGACTTGATGGGTTTCTACCTTTTGATATGCCTGCTCGCGAATCTTTGCGCGAGGGTGACAATGAGTCATTGTAAGTAGATCTTTTTAGTGTCTAGTCATGTTCAAATCTTATCTCGCTTTCGATAGTACGAGATTACTTCGTACCAAGGGACCCGTCATGCTTCGCCGAAAAACCCAAAAGCGCCCAAAAAAGCCCACGCGCTCAAAAAAGCCCTAAAGCGTCCAGAAAACCCAAAAGCGCAAAAAGCCCAAGTAGCGTCGCAAAGCAGGAACGCCATTGGCGCGCAACTAATAAATACGTATTTTGGTCCATGTTCTGTTATCTGCACATAAAACAATGTCAGAATTCTATCAAAAGTTCAGGGATGATCACAGAAAACGCAGCCATGCTTCTGACCCTTGGCAACAGATCCTAAAATAAACAAAATTCTGAATAGAAACCAACTAGAAAAAGAGCTAAACAGGAAGATTCGAATAATTACGAACAATATAAAGACATAATAATTGAGCTGCACAAAAAGCTAGAAAACCATGCAATTCTCCAAAAACTACAACTGCTTAGTCACATTGACTCTGTTTCATCCGGCTTGAACTTTTGTAGAATTCTGTCAATATTTTGAGGTGGATGAGAAAGAGGCGTTCCGGCTTTTTCTAGCGCAAAGAGGCGCTCCGACTCTTTCTGGCGCTCTTGGGCTTTTTTGGGCGCTTTCGGGCTTTTTTGGACTTTTTAAGCGCTCTTCGGCAGCATGACGGGTCCCTAAGACTCAATCAGTTGAATGTTCGATTGTCCATGATTACATTTCAAACGTGGTTGTTTTTTCCGGTAATTGGGCTGACTGAATCACACTGTGAACCCGTCTGCCATCTGTCAGATGAGACAGTGTAGCTATGCACTCAGTCACCTCGAGACTGACCTTATATAAAGTTGCTCGCAGTCCAGATCACATGCGCAAGGTTTTCAACACGCAAAACTGCGTTGCAATGAAAGCGCAGATTAATTTGGTAACCGCTGTAGCGTGTGAGACTACTCCGAAAGCCTTGTTACAATGAATACTTTCTTCCCGATGCATTTAATTAATTACTAATCAATTATTATCAATTATTAATAATCAGTTCAATAATTACAGGTTTATGTCACATGCGGATGTCGTAAAGCCATTTCTAAACACCTCACGCAGCATTGCATCTCTTCTTGGCTACGTGTACTTCTTCAGGTGCGTCAACTGTCTTTTAACACCCAGCTGTTACAGCTTTAATTCTTCTTCATTTCCTTGAAGAAAAAAACGACCATTGTTTTTGGCTTCTCACGTTAAATTAAAAATGTGTTCATTGCAAAAAAAA